TACTTTCATGTATCTCTTAAATTGAGCTTACCATTTCGGTGTAGGGCATATTTACTTCGGTTACTGGAGAGCAGCTTTTCACGCAGCTGCCACAGGTAAACATGAAAGAAGCTTCCCATCAAAATGTCTGCGTCAACAAACTTGACTTTTGGTATTTTATGCAAATGTTTCGAGTGTCACGGACTAAAATGGCAATTGAAACGCTAATGATGACATTTGGCAGGCCTAAGCAGCGGGCCAAGGAAAACAAAATAACAAACTAAAAACAAAACAGAGCGAACGAGACAAAATGGTCTTCGTGTGCTTTTCCGTTTCCTGTTGGCGCTGCGCTGGGAAAACATAACAAATCGTTTTCTTTTCGTTTTTCCTGGCCCCTTTGTTTTTTTTTCTTTATTTTTTTGTATTCTGGCTGCTTAAAAGGAAAGTTTGCATGTAGGCCTCTGGCATTTTTACGAGGCATTCAGCCAATTGACAGGCTTCAGTCGCTCGTAAAAACAAAATCAAGCAACGAAGAAAAATGATGCGCAGAAAGGAACTGAAACTGTCGAAGGGAATGAAAAGGAAACTATACGGCCGTTTGAATCGCCTAAAAGTATACTTAAATATTTAAGGGCGAGCGCGGGCGAGAGCAAGGCGAAAGTTTAAAAAACATTAAAACGCATTTAGCAGGCTGTTCTGGGCCTTCCAAATGTATATGTATATATATCTATATACATATTTACGGAACCGAATCTGCTTGCCACGCCCATAAATACTTATTATCGCTTATTTGAACTTGTGAATGCTGCCAACAGCGATGCTTGTGATTTACTTTTATTTGAGCTGGCTTTTCCTTTCCTTCGTCTTCGCCTTCGCCTTCGCTTTTCCATCACTGAATTTTGTGCGTGAGTTGTCAGTGCGAAAGTGTGTGCGAAAAAAAATCGATTTTTATTTCGTCTGCTCAGGGAAAAAGGTCAAAAACAATAAAAGCCTAAATACACATACGAGCCTTTGAACTGGCTTTGATAAAAGCAGCGTAGTCTCAGCCGCAGGAGCAGAAAAAAAAGGAACCGAGTACTGGAAAGGACTTTTCGGGGAGGGTAAGCCTCCAATCAATGGCTGTGCGTCGCTTTTGGTACGTGTGAATTTAAGCTGATTAAAGAATTGAGCTCCTCCGCGTGAGAGCGAAAAGGAGAGACAAGAAGGAGGGAGACGAGTGGAGCAGAGAAGTACGGAGAATAACGCAGAAAGGCAGAAATTGATGTCTGCTTTTAGGCGTAGATGCTGCCTTGGCTTTATTTATGCCTTTTGTCTGGGCTCGCAGGCTTTGTTATTTGGGGCTTAGTGGCGAATATCCCCGTCCTTTTAATTTGCACCCCACAAAAAGCGCACACACATACACATACACATACATACGCATGTGGGACAGATAAAAGAAGTGGCATCCGCGGTCGCAGCTGAAGCCAATCATCATTGGCAGTCAATCTATATTACAAATTCAATTGAATTTGTCGCTCCTTATTTGCGCTAATCAAATTGCGAGGGCTGCCATAAAAATGTTTGAGACTAATAAGGCCGCCAGCAGGTAGAGAAAGTGTGTGCCGCCCACTTTATGGTCAAAAGGATACTTTTCGCTGCAGCATTTTGGCAACGCAAAAGTGGGAAAACACAATTCAAATGCGTAATCAGGCGTAAGAAAGGGGGCTTGTGTGTGGGGCAGAGTGAATGGCAGCAAACGAAATGAGAAAAGTTTTTTTGGCCGGGAATTGGTGGCGGCCAACACTGCGTATTATTATTATTATTAGTTTTCGCCCTAAAACTTTTCGCAGCCTGCTTATTAGCAGAAGTAGTGAGGAGTGGGGTTTCTGTTTCATAGCTCATTGCTTTTCAATTTGATCAGACGTTGTCTATAATGAGCTCTTGAAAAAGTTTTCTCTCGCTGGCAGTTTCCACGTTGACGTACTCATGCGGTCTACACATATCTTTCTCTCCATTAATGTTCTTCCTTTTCAAGACTGGATTTGTTATTTTTTTTTTTTTGGTTTTTCGGTTAATTTTCGACTGTCATTTATCATCAGGTGAGGGATGTGAGGAAATTTTTATGGAGTTGATTTTTAATCTTTTGCAATCATTCCCCTACAATCGCCCCGCCCGCACCGCAGAAGGAAATGAATATTTATAAGTATGATGGATGAGGCGAGACGGGAAGTGCCCCAGGTGGAAGAGGGCTGGAGCGGCATCTGATTTACTGACGTGTGACAAGGAGCCAGGGATAAAGGTAAGGAAATTAATGCGTAGTTAGAAACATAAATCTGTGCGTAGTCCTTGCGTCGGCATGGGGAAATGGCGGGGATTTCACAATTTATGTTTCGTTTGCCCAGCTAAAGGCAGATTCTTTTCGCTTACGGGTCGTATGAGTGATATTAATTTGACTTTAAGTCGCTCGTCCTGCAGCCGAGGAATATCAAACGTAACACGTCAACGTAGAACGCAAGCGAACGTATGCAATTTACGTGACATCATTACGTGTTAGACAAGTACAAATTACGCGTGAAGCAGAGGGGAGAAAAGGGAGGGAAGGCAGACGACAATATGAGTTTGATAATGATGAAGCATGGTGTGTGTGTGTGTGAGTGTGTGTGTGGGCGGGAATATCAAGATAAATAACTAAGCAAGGACATGTGTGTTTGTGTGCGGGTGTGTGTGAATGAAACGAAAGTCATCAGACTCAGATATGGCACAGTAGATTGCAAATGCGACAAACGTTGCCGGGACGAAGGACACAGGACACAGGACACCAGATGAAAGACAAAGGCAACAAATTGTACTAGAGGTCCTGTTGGCTTGGGATTTAAGGTTTCGTTCTCGGATCGGCAAGCAATGGTGGGGCTTGGTCAAAGCCCAGACATGTCAACAATGCCTCAGTAAGTTAAAATTGATGAAGTTAGCAGGCCGAGCAGGAGATTTGCGGGGGCGCACACAACCCTTTTCAATCAGTGTTCCTTCAGCACTTGTCAACTGTGGAATAAATATATTCATATACCCAACACCGCAGCACTCACATTTCATGCTTGATTTGAGTTTAAATAAATTACGCATCTTTGTGAGGCTGAAAAATGCAAATGTCAGCGGGCGAAAACTTGCAGCAGCCGGCAGACCAGCAATTAAACTTGTCCTTGTCTAATTGCATTTTGGCCTAAACCAAAAGAGCCAAAGCCAAAGATCCTTTTTGCACACACACACACAGGCACAAACAAACGAAGTCAAAAGTCGCAGGACTTGGTGCCGAGTTGCCAAGTGCTCTGCTGATAGCGGCCCAAAAAGTTTAGCGCTTTAATTTCTTAGAAATTTGTTCCAACTCGGCCAAGAGTGTGAGCGCGGATGGGCCCAGCAAGGCAACAAACAAAAATGTCGACTTGATTGCGTCGCCGATGGTTTGGTGGGCCTGCTTCTTGGAAGCTGTACGTCCCGTCCAAGTCCTTGGCGAAGCCGAAGTCCAAGCTCTAGCCATATAGACCAGGTCCACCATTGTGCGGACAGATTGCCGGCAAGTTGGCAGAGTTGAGCTGAGTCGCTGAGTCGAGAGTTGCTTCAAGTTCTCAATCCCCAGCGGATTAGAAAAGTTTAAATTGTTGCCAGCGAGAGCAAAGGACCAAGAGCAGCAGAGCGCTCTGCAGCGGCAGCAAAGCGAAATCGAAGCAGCAGCCGAAGAAGAAACGGATGAATAAAGGGAGCAACGTAACGATTAGTGCTTTCATGTCCTTTGCCAAAGTTTAAAGGTCATCCGGAGGAGGGTCCTGCGCTCGCTGCTGATTTGACACATCAACTTTGTCAAGGTTTTTGTGCCACACAGCCACCAGCCACCAGCCACCAGCGACAGCGACTGTTATGAGCAATGGCTGTGTCCTTCTACAGGACTCCTCCCGGCTGCCGCTGCCGCTCCCGCAGAAGTTGAAGTCCTGGCGCGGGTGTGTGTGCACAAGCAATTTGTGCAATGGACATTTTCGGGCGCTGGCATTCTCTGCTCTGCAGTGATAAGCGCTGCCAGCTGCAAAATGTCTTAAAAGATTGCGGAGTGCACTGACTTTTAGTCCAATTCAGCCCGTGGGGCATCCTGCGATGATTGCGAAATGTGTAGCATACTTTTGTGCGATTGTACCTTTTCGGTGAGCGCTTTTCATGGGTTGGCTTCGGGGATGATGGCCTGATGAGCTGGTGGGCTGATGGGCCGGATCTAACCCACAACGGGTGGGAATATTGAAATTACTTTGAAGCTGCTGCATAATGAGCCTGTCAATAAGTTTATCAAAGCAACAACTACTCGGGCCACGACGGCCTGACCCAAAAAACAAAGTTGAAGTGCTGTGTAAATTATGCAAATCTTTATCATTCTTTTTCTGCTGTGCTCTGCAGGGGAGTTGGAGGGCTATATCGAGGGGACTTGGGTCGATGGGCTGTCACAAACAAGCGTGAAGCTCGACAACTGTGTGAGGGGCCCAGTAAAAACAATATGGCGCCCTGGCCAGCGAGTCCTGCTCCTGCTCCTGCTCCCGCTCCACTTTCCCCGGCTGACTGCCATTGACAGTTCAACGTTGTTTTGCTATACGCTTTTCCCATTTTCTCTACCTTTTCCAAGTATTTTTTCGAGCTTCGCTTCGCTTCGGCTCTGTTCTGTTTTTTTGATTTTTTTTTTTTTGTGAAATGTCAAATTTTTGCAGACAGTTTTGACAGTTTATCGAAGTGCGCCCGTAATTTTTGCTGACGTGTGTTGTAGGTGTTGAAAATAGCAGGCGAATGCTTAGATGTGTTGGGCGGAGGGGGCGACAAAAACTTTGGCTGCCTCTGCACTTCCCGGCTGAGTGCTTTGGCACAAAAACTTTCCCCCAAATCGAAGACGGGTCAAGTTTTTCGTAATTATTTGCTTTGGGTCACCTATGGAGACTCACAAATTGATTTTCTGGCGGGGAGTCCACAATAGTGGGTATGCGGGGCATAAATGAATATGGCAGGTGATTACTTACCGCTGCGACTTTCATTTTCAGCTGGCTTCAGCTGTAAAGCACGGTTCATCTGCAACGAGAAGAGGAGAAAAAAGAGCAAATTAATATCTGGCCGAAACAAGAGCTTTTGCATGCTAACGGTGTTAGCAGGAAAGGCCATTTCCATTAAATTGGTGGTCGGCATTGGCATTGGCATCGGCCAGTCCATCCCCCTCAAATTCAATCAACTTTCGTTGGCGGCCGAGAAGAGTAGAGCAGTGTTCGGAGGACCTCTTCATAAACACCTCCCAAAACACATTTGGCCAGCGAAGCATTTTCAAGCATTTAAATGCCACTCAATATGCAGGCCCATCTCCTGTCCTGTCGCTCCTGCACATTTGCGCTCATTGCCTTTTACCCACGACTGGGCAGCCACATCCTGTGCCGCTTCATGCATCATTAAAGCTTAAATCTCACCCAAGCGACCCATGTCGATTCTGGCCAGCCAACACTTAACGTTCTCTCTCTTCATCCACTCGGGATCGGGATTGGGAGTGGAAGTGGAAGTGGGAGTGGGTTTGGGTTTGAGTTTGGGTCACAAAGTGGGGTGGATATGGGTCTGGGACGGCTACGTGTTGTGGTCACCTTTTGGTTTATGGCAAATGAGTAATATGCCCGTGCCAGAGCACGAAAAATCCCATTAAAAGACGTTCAAATGAAATGCATTAAAATAAAACTTAATTGAGGGCTTTATACGGAGTGTTTGAATCGGTTGGCTGGACGTCCTTCCGTCCTTCTCCCCAAAAACCGCAGAAACCCGAGCAAATCAATAATCAGCCAGAAGAAGACCCTTTCGGTTGTATATCTCTCTCCCAGGTGTAATTTATTTGCGCCGCACATACAGTGGCAAAATGGGCGGCTTGGGCACGCCCCCAGGCTTCCTGGCCTTAGATTGGCTTATCAGTGGAGGTCCTGGCACCGACCGAGTCCTGTCATTAGCCGCCGCATGGAAGTCTGTCGTCTCATCGCCTGCCGCCTGCCGCTTGTCGCATGAATATTTTATAATCAGCCATTAGTTTGCGGCAATTGAAAATGATTGAAGCTTTTAACTGCAAAATTCAATTGCTTTATATAACCGTGAGTGGGAAAGTGGAAAGTGGACAAGCCCTTCGACCATTAACCGCCCATCCCCACCCACAATATGAAATATTTAATGGTGTAGTCCGGTACGGATTCGTGTTTTTTTTCGGAACAATCCATTAGTCAGGGGCGAGTAATTAAAATTGCGATTTATGCACGCGCATGGAGCGGAGTCGAAATTTTTGGGGGCCCTCCGCTTGCGATTGGGCTTGTTTGTAATTCAATTATGTTAATGATTGGACAGCATTTACCGTATTTACATTAATGCATAATGAATGAGAGGAGCCAGGCCCAAACTGCAGGCGGTACTGGTACTGGTGGTACTGGTGCTACTATTTTTTGTTCGCCCCGCTTAATTGTAGCTGCAGTTGGAACTGAGGGTCCGCTAAACACGGCCAATGGCAATTAAGTGCATTTCTCTGTCTGACCGAGGGAATGCTGAATTTGGCCCACACCATACTCTGGCAGACCAGTCCACTTCATCACTCCTGGCCAGACAACACACAAATGCGCTTTTGCTTTTGCTCAAAGCTCAGCTGGATAAATTAAGTGGTCGATGAACTGAAGCCTTGTTGATTTTATACACCCATCGCCATGTTGTTGACAGCGGGAAAGGGAGCTGTGGTGACGCCGCAGAATTTAAACCAATGTTTAACCGAAAAAATGTTCATTTAGTCGCACGTCCTGCGATCCTTCTACTCCCGCCGATGAATGATTGATGTGGCGTGGCTTAATAAATTGGAAAATGTTTTCAGCTCAACTTGAGCCAGGCATCTCAAAGGCAGGCAGCTAAGCTAAATGCAGGTTGTGCCCTCTTAAAAGCACTATCCCCTCCCATTCGACTTTCATTTTTTCCTTCCAGTTTTTGCCGAAGGCTTTATCACTGCTGGAAGCCCGCAGCTGGCTGCCACATCAATTGATGTGGCTGACTTTGACTGCAAAAATCAGTGCAGCCTGCACATATACGTATACACGTATTGATCAGGCCAGTCGTCAATGGCGTGTTGATGAAGCCTGGCCCGCTCTTCCCCTTGGTTAATGAACTTCTGGCCATTTATGAAGAAGTCGAAACTGTGTAAAAGGTTGTGGAAATTTCTGAAAATTTAACTTGTGCTCTGGCCAAGCCACATGACTGCCCTGGATGCCAGGATGCCGGGATGCCAGGAGGCTAGGATGCCAGGATGCCGGGATGCCCTTCTAAGGCATCTCTGACTCTGCACAAAAGTCTGGCTAATTATTAACGCCAGCAAACGGCTTCCCCGCAAGCCCCGTTTTAACCAAGGCTTTTGGCCGCGTAATTAGCGCACATAATTTGAAATTTAAATGTTGCCAAAAGCCGAAGCCTTTGAGAGTCAAAATGTTAATTAAATCTGGCTCTCTTCTCGCTCGCTCTCTGCTTTTATTCGGGTATTTTTTTTTTGTTTTGGTTGGGTGGCAAGTGGGCTGGTCTGTGTGCGCGGAATCAAAAGCTGCCTGCCTCGACACAATTAGCCTTTACAATTGCTTATGACAAAGTGTCCTTTTGGGTGTGGTTGTCGGGTGGCAAGATGTTGCAGTCGACAGTAGAGAGTTGAGAGTCGACAGGCGCCAGTGGCAACGTTAAACCGCAAATTTTAGCGCCCCAGCAAGTCGAGCATGACGAGTTCGAGGGGTCAGAGGGGCCGAGGGGTCGAGACTAGCCGCAGTGTCGCCGCCTACGCATATGCAATGCCTGAAAGTGCCAACTTGGCCAAGTGCTTTGTGGGCCATCTCCCCCCATTCTCCCCATTCTCGCTGTTGTGGGAGGTCCTTTTTGGGGGGCGGGGGCTGTGCTGGGTGCATGGACCCATAAACTGCGTTAGTTTATGATGCCCGAGCGCTAAGTGAGCAAAGCGAAATACGCAGAGCGACGGGGACAGAGATCCAGAGATCCAGTCAAGCCGTAAGTGCCTTCCTAAAATCCCCCATCCCCATCCCCATCCCCATCCCCACCCCCATCCATCCATCCCCATGTGCAATTAGAATGCGGCGCATTGAACCAGCCAGGGCGCAAAAAGCCAGAGAACGACCGAGCTTTCAGAACGCTTTGGTCAGTGGTGTGTTGTTGTTTTTATGCATTCGATGGCCGAACTACATAAAACGGAACAACGAAAATGCAATTAAAACTACGTTTTATGGCTTTGTTATGGCAGCGGTCGCCTACAAGCCCGGTTTTTCGCCTTTTCTCTTTGGAGCACATGAAAAGCGATTTTTATGATGCTTTCTCCACACTCCGGCGACGATGATGATAGTTTGGAAAATGGTTTCGAATTGAGTGGCCCCGGCAACTTTTGTTGATAGAAAAGTAATATTTTATGGGGTTAGCTCGAGGGTAAACTGAAACTGGATGGGTAGTGCTGGGTTTTGCTTATTGAAAACGCCGCTCGCTGCGCTTCATCTTTTCTAACAAAAATCATCAAAGTTTTATGCAAAAGTTTTTTCGAGCTGCTGCTCGTGGGCACACAGATACTCGGCGAAAGACTTTCTCTTTTCTCTCCCCCATACCCACGATGGAGAAATTTGTCACTGGCAAGCAAAGCACCTAAAAGTAGACAATGTTGCCTCAAGCATCTGTCATGTGTGCGATGGGTGGGGTACGGGGTTCGGGGCTGGGGGGATGGTAGTAAAAAGGGTGTTCCGGGATCCACCAGCTGGAGGTAAAAGCAAAACAAACTAACGAGCTAGCAAGCAAAACAATGGCTTGTAGAGCAGCTCTCTCTGCGCTCTAACAACCTGCCATAACTGCAGCTTAATCAAAAGTTTTTCTCCGCCTCCTCAGCCACAGAGATTCAGCTTCAGCTGGAGGGCAGGCAACCAAACATCCAACCGACCAACCAACTATATCGTCCTCCGTGATCCCGCTCCTTGCTCCCTGTTCCTTGCTCCACCATTTGATACTAATCAGTGGCTGCTTCTTCCACTTTTTATGCTGTCTGGTCTGCTGCCTGGGCCACGTTCAATGGGAAATATCTATATTCTTTATGTATCTCAATGTATGAAATATGGCAAGTGTGTATTATGGCTGTTGCAGGGCTGCCTTTGGTGGGAGTTTGCAATTAGCAAGTGGCAATTAAAGTTCTGGCATTGAACCTTGGCCATGGACCATGTTTTATTGGTTCATATATTATCCGAATGGGCCAGACAAAAGCTGTTAATAACTTCGGCAAGTCGATAGATAAAATGAGAGCAAAATCATTTATTAAATGTTAAAGTCTAATCCTTGAATCGCCCATACCGCACCCGTGTGCCCGGGTCCCAACCCAACTCAAAGCTAAATTTCATTCAAGACACGACACTTGACTGTCGTATGACACTTGAGTTCCTGCTCCTGCTCCTGCTCCTGTCCGTCAGCGGATGGTTGCCCCACCTTTCCACTTCCACTGGCACCAAATATGCAAATAAATTACTAATAACCTCAGAATGTAACCCTTGCACGGAAGCAGTTGGAATTTAGTGAGCGGGGGGTCGAGAGTGGAGCGGGCGCTGTTCCTGATTCATAATTCAAATTTTACGCCGCAATAAACAAAAATGCCTAAAATTATGCAACACAACGCCCATGAACATTGCTGAGCAAGTCATAAATTATGTAAATTTAATTTTACGCCCCCCACCGCGGCATCTGCAAATATGTACATCGATATATACGAGCTCATATGTATGTATGTATACGGCGACGCCCACTATGAAGCCAACCACAAAATTGTAAAACGAAGAAGAAAGTATAGGGAAAAGAACGTTATTATTATGTAAATAATTAATGGCGTGTAATTATCTAAATTTCGGACAATTAGAAAAAATTAACACACACCGACAAAACGAACAGAAAGAGGGAAACACGCGGCAAGGCCAGAAATTTATGACATTTTTATTATACAACGAAATGTATGAAAAAAAAGATATGGAAATGAAAGCGAAACTCCATGTAGACCATGT